AGCTCCCCCCAAAAAAGTGCAGAGCAACTGAAGAAGCCATGTCACATGGACTCCTGAGCTCACACCCAAACACCAGCAATGGCCTATTGCCTTGCCTGTCTAGATTTTTGGGATTACAGAATACCAAAAGGAAGGCCTGTTTTCCTTCTAGAAGTTTGTGGGTTAGACAGAGGAGCTGTGGGAGTCTGGAGGAATAAAACAATTCCTCTAAACCTTCCCCCAGCACACACAGGCTTCCCAGGACCAAGTCAGGGAAGGAGAAATTTAACTGTGGAATTGACAAAAAAAAAAAAAAAAGACCAGGAAAACGGCTCAAATGACCAAATGCACAGCAGAACTCATCACTCTCCTAACTGAGCACATGGTCACAGCACCAGGGCTCCTGGGACCTCGTCTTGGCAGCTTTCCAAGGACTCCAAGTCTGCATCAGCACGCTTGGACAGCTCGGGCCACATTAACTGTGAGAAGGTCATTCAGAAGAAGAGCATCTTCATCCCTAGCATCGGCTCTGGCCACTGCTCATCATAGATACTGGATAAAAACTAGGACTAGGGAGGTGACTCAGTAGATATGGTGCTCACTGCCCACTGCACAAGCAGAGTTCCGATCCCCAGTACCCATATAAAAAACCAGGTCCTCTGGTACACACCAATAGGTGTACAGCTTATAGGTAAACCAGATCCCTTGAACCATAGGTAAACCAGCTTAGCTCAATCAATGAGCTCCAGATTCTCAAAAGATAAGGTGGGAAACAATTGAGGAAGATACCTAACTGACATCAACCTTGGCCTCTACAGGGATTCTATAGGGATGTACACACACACACACACACACACACACACACACACGGGGAGGGGGTATATCATTAACACATTAATAGCATGTTAAACAGTATAGGAATATGACCTAAATTAGGCATTTATAAACCTTGTGTAGTGCCTGTAATTCCAACACTTGAGATGTGGAGGCAGGAAAATCAGCTCAAGTCAAGCCTATACCACAAAGTGAGCTTCAGGGTAGCCTGGGCTACATGGTACCCTGGGGGGAGAGAAAAGAATCAAAACTATGCAAAATTTCAAAAGATGGGGAGATCGTTATTCACTTGAAAATGGAGATTTAAAATAAAGCCATCTCTTCTGACTATTGAGAACGGCTCTACTTCAAAGCAGTCATTAACTCTAAAGGCAGTCTGAAAAAACCTGCACTGACGGGTTCCAAACATTTGCTTCCCACTCAGACCTCTCAACTGTCACCCAGAAGGCTCCTCCACTCTCTCTAGACACATGATGTCTTCCCTCGTCCAGTGCCTGGAATGTCTACACTTCCCCCATCAACACTACTCGCCACCTTACTCCCCCAGTACCAGAAATCCCTTCCCTAAACATCTGCTGTCATCACGGCAACTCCAGAGACAACGCAGGCTGCACAGGCTTTCCTCAGATCCGTTATAAAAGTATGGACACAGGCTGTCACTCTGGTGACCTGCCATTCACCACCGCCCCCAGGCCAGGACAAGCTGGAAGGCACAAACCAGACACAGCGCTCTTTAAGTCTCTCAGGAGTGGGGTTACCTGTGAGGATGCTGAATGGTGACACAGGGTACCAAAGCCCCAACGCAGATCTTCCCAATGGCTGCCCTTGATGACTTTACTGACATTTCTGGATCACCACCTATTCCCTATCCCCCTCCCAAAATGTGACTCTGAGGTGACACAGGGCCTCAGTCATAAAGTATTTCCCATGCAAGCATGAAGATCCGCATCTGGTCTCCAGAACTCAGGTTAAAACGAGCCTATGACACTGTAGCGTGCACCTGTAATCCCAGCACTAGGGAGAAAGAGTAGACTAGCCAGTCTAGCCTACTTAGTGAGTTCCAGGCTAGAAAGAGATCCACAAAATCAAAAAAGTGGGTGGTGCCTGAAAAATAACACCTGAGGTTTTCTACTGGCCCCTACACAGACATAACCCCCTCCTCTCTCTCACACACACAGAACACACACACACACACAGAGAGAGAGAGAACACATACACACTGGCAGAAAGACATCGGGAGGGACTAGTGAGCCGTCACTCTTCTGGGACAAGCCCCTGAGCTGTGACTACTGGCATTTCCATGCTTAGGAGGCCAGCTGAGCACAAGGCCGGAGGTTCTTTTGAAACTGTGCATAAGTTGCAGGGGGAGGGAATCTGCGTTGCTCTCAACTCTTGGGGTCGCTCCCAGCTTCTCCCTGGGAACGCTGCGGATGCTCATCCATATGTACATGGTCTTTATAAAAATGTACACAGATGTGTGAATAGGTAATGAGCACAGCGTTCACACTTCTACACACAAAGCACTGGAAATGTGCACGATGCTCAGGAGGCGATCCAAAGGCCCAGAGAGCTTTGCTGTGACAGTCGCTGGAGTTCACAGGGACAGCTACACTCAAAGAAGGGACCGGTGCCATCTCAGGTTACCTTAAATCCCACTGGTGGGAGAACTGGGGAGCTGGTTCCGTGAGGAAAGCACTTACCTCGCAAGCATGAGGACCTGAGTCTGACCACCAGAACAAACATTTCTTAAAAAGCCAGGCAAGTATAGGTAGATGGTTCAGTGGTTAAAGTACCGGCTGCATAAGTATGAGGACTTGAGTTCAATCCCCATCACCCACATAAACCTACAGCCCTAGCATTCCTGTGGGAAGATGAGAGACAGAGACAGGAAACCTGGAGCTCAGCTAGGTCTCTGCTGGCATAAGCCGAAAAAAAAAAAAATAAAAAAGCCTACTCAGACAAGGATGAAGGCAAGAACTGATACTTGAGGTTCTCTCTCTCTCTCTCTCTCTCTCTCTCTCAAGCAAGGCGGTGACACAGGCTTATATTCTCAGTGCTGTTGTCCTCTGGCCTCTACAAGCAAGGACACACACACACACACACACACACACACACACACTGGCCATTTGGATAGTTACAAAGTTCCAAGCCCCTGTCGACTTATTATCCTACTGACCCCAGTCCCCAATGTCCCAAACTAGGAAGGTAGGCTGGAAGGAGGCACAGGAAAGAAATTACTCAAATCTTTTCCGTTTGCCCAGACATTCATCTAGGCCACAGACAGTTGCTAGAGACAGAGACTTCCTCTTTTTTTCTGACCCTAAACAGGGTACCTAGGTCAATCTCTCTCCACTTTTCCTCCTCTCCATTTCCAGGGCTCTACATCAAGTAAGTGGATCACATGGACATTAAAGTTGATAGCAGAAAAAAACCTAAAATTTTCTCTAAAAGGGGGAGCTTTGTTCTCATCCTAACAGAATCACACTTAAGCCTGCCCATCTCAGCTCTGAGCAACAGCCACAAAATGATTTAGAGGAACTAAGGGAGGGTGGGAAAATTCATAAAGACAGATATGAGGTGGTCTGACTTTTTTGGCTGAGACAAGTGAGCTCTTGTTGTAGCGACAAAGGGTCTCCCACAAGTCCAGGGTGAGAGATCCCTCCAGTCTTGACAACACACTTAGGATAGGTCAGCTAGTGAACGTGTTTCCTCTTGGATCTTAATAAATTCTGATTCGATATAACCTTAGATCTAGTGTGACTTTACTATTCCACCGAAAAACCCACACAAACCTCAGCTTGCTGCTTCCCAACTCCACGGCTCCAGAGGAACCCAGGAACATATACAAACAGCAAATCGAGGCCTGGCAATTAGCGCCAATAGTTACTGAGCTGTTAGACCTAGACCAGGGCAACCTCAGCAAATCAGAAAACATCCTCTGGGACACACACACACACACACACACACACACACACACACACACGCATGCACGCAGCTCAAGGGTGCTCCAAAAGCCACGGAACAAAAAAAAAAAATGCAAGCGCCACCCCTTCCCTCTTCCTTGCGGTGGCTTTGTGTGTGACATCCACTGTGAGCGCGCGAATGTTGCCAGGCTTACACACCCCCTTCCACCCATCCTGCTCACGGCGCAGAGTCAATGCGCGAGACTGGGCACCCTGTGTGTCCTGAGAGCGGGTCCACCTGGCAGACCAACGAGTCGCCAGGCCTCTGGTCCTCCACCCGCAAGGAGCAAGGGTATGACATCCACGCCCCCATCTCCAGAGGCCAGAGTGGCTCTGGAAAGCAGAACCCTGATGCCCGTCACAGGCTAGGCAGAGGCCTGGGGACGAGAAAGGGTGAACAAGAGGGCACAGAGATTCCTCACTCGCGTACCCCATGCCTCCAATTTAGCGAGCAGCGGCCCCAAAGGGGACAGAGGCGGCTGGCCTGGCGACTCGGCAGGAAGTTCCCAGGACCGCACTGAGCATGCTCTAGGGGAGTGTGTACGCGGGTGTCGGCCCTTGCATCCCGCAGCCTCTGCCATCCCCCGGCCGTGGGTGCACGCCGGCTGGATCGCGGTCAGGCTGGCGGTCCCCAAGGCGATATATCTGGGTGCCGAAGGGAGTATCCTTGATCTCCCAGCCTGGAGCTTCGGATATTCTTATCCCCTTTCCCCAGGGGTCTGGGGCCCCACTCCTTCATTCTTCTTCCCAACTGGCTCAAGGCATATCCCACTCTGAGCTCCCGGATTCCCAGGACCCTAGTCCGGCCCACGCTGGCATCCTAGTTCTATGTGGTTTCATCGCGGTCCCAGTGTCCAAAATGCCAATCTCAGCTTCTCACCTCCAGCCCACACCACCCGAGTGCCCTCTGGACAGTTCCTTGAGAAGCCTAAAAGCCTCAGAGCCTAGAGAGGGTCTTCAGGGTCCCATGAGAGAGGAAACCCCGAGCAGGTGGTGGACCCTCCAAGCGCGCCCCTCTGTTGTACTCTGAGGTTTCCACCCCCGTCCCAGATCAGACACACGACCAAAACACCCACGCCGCCCCAGTGTCAGCGCTGGGCCGGTTAAGGGCTGCTTCAGCTCCTCTAGCGTCCCCCACGCGTCCCCCGTGATCCCCAGTGCGAGCATCTCCTCGGGGAGATGGCGAGCTCGGAATCGATCGCCCGACCCTGCAGCAGCTCTTACCTGCTAGTAGGGGAGCAGAAGAAGCACTATCAACAGCAGTCGGGGTCACTCTCCAACAGCCGTGCTCTGGGAGGCAGGGGGTCCCAAGCGCAGTCAGGAGCCGGGTCACAGCGCCCCCAGAGCCCGAGGCGCGGCTACCTGGGCTGGCTCGAGCCTGGGGCTGCCGCC